GGGGAGGGGAGGGGAGAAAAGAAGGGGGAAAAGGAAAAGGGAGAAAGAGCAAGATAAGGGGAAAGGATGCAATCGTGAACAGACTGCGCGCATACTGCTGAGCGTATCCGACTGCAATGACAGCCAGATGCAGTCGAGAAAGTCCTGCTGCGATGTGCTTCGAGCAAGAATGAGCAGCGCAGATATGGGAGGGTGGAAAAAGGGAAGATAGAGGATACGCCGGAGGAAATAAAGGGCATATGGGGGGAGAGAGGAATGGGAGAGGGACAAAGGGGGAGAGAAATGGGATAGAAAAGGGAGAGTGGTATGGGAGAGAAATTGAACGACGAGGAACGGGAGAGAGAGGAACGGGAGAGAGAGGAATGGGAGAGAGAGGAATGGGAGAGAGAGGAATGGGAGAGAGGAATGGGAGAGAGCGAAATGGGAGAGAGAGGAACGGGAGAGAGAGGAAGGGGAGAGAGAGGAATCGGAGAGAGGAAGGGTGAAAGGAAGGAAGAGAGGAATGGAAGAGAGGAATGGAAGAGAGGAATGGAAGAGAGGAACGGGGGAGGAATGGGAGAGGAATAGGAGAGGAACGGGACAGGGAGAAAGGGAGACAGAAAAGGAAGAGAGGAATGGGAGAGGGTGAAAGGGAGAGAGGAAGGGGGAGAGAGGAAGGGGCAGAGAGGAAGGGGGAGATAGGCATGCGGAGAGAGGAAGGGGAGAGAGGAATGCGAGAGGGAGAAAGGTAGAGAGGAATGGGAGAGGGAGACAGGTAGAGAGGAATGGGAGAGAGAGGAGTCAGTGTAACCTGGATCTTCATGATAGATCAAGGGCGGTATCATGAGAGACAAGGAGGGAGAGGAGGAGGAAAGGGGAGGAGAGCAGAGGGAAAAACGCAGAGAAGCGACCGGGAACGAGGGGGAGAGGAGAAGGTTCGGCATGGGGAAAAGAGGGATGGGTATTACAGTAAGTAACAGGAGAGAAAAGGAGGGAGAGGAGGAGGAGGAAAGGGGAGGAGAGCAGAGGTAAAAACGCAGGAACGCAGGAACAGCGAGAGGTGCGCAAAGTGGGGAAGAAATGAAACGTAGGAAACGAACCCCCAAGAGTTTCCACGACCCAAACAACAACAACAACAACAACAACAACTCGATCCACAACTGAGGCCAATTGCGTAAAGTGCGTTAAAAAACAACTCCCAAGAGTTTCCACGGCACACACAAACAAAGAAAAAAAAAAGGGATACGGAAAATGCGAGAGCAATAGAATACTGCATAGAGTACTTGATTTGATTTGATTTGATTTGATTTGATTTGATTTGATTGATTGATTGATTGATTGACTGATTGATTGATTGATTGATTGATTGATTGATCGATTGATATGTGTGAACCTTACAAGTCATTGGAGAAGGAACGATTTGAGAGCAAAAAGGGTGCGAGAACTAGAACAATAGATTGATTTCTGGATTAGTTGATTGATTGATTGATTGTGTAAACTTCCCAAGTGATTCAAGAACGAGCCAATTAGGAGGAGGAAACCGCGCGCGAGGAATACAACACTACATTCCCCACGTATTCACTCATTCGTTCCGCATTCATTTGTGTAAAACCTCCCCAAGTAATCCGAGAAAGACTGGATTGACAGGCGGGAAAAGATGCAAGGAATAGAACGCCAGGTCGATTGATTGATGGATGGATGGATGGATGGATGGATGGATGGATGGAAGGATGGATGGATCGGTCAATTGGCTGGCCGCTTAACTGATAAGGACGTCTGATTGATTGATTGATCAGTTAGATGGTCGATTTACTAATAAGGACGTCTGATTGATTGATTAATTGTTTGGTTGAATTAGCTGCTCAATTAACTGATAAGGACTTCTGATTGATTGATTGATTGATTGATTGATCAATTAGCTGGTCGATTGGCTGACAAGGACGTCTGATTGATTGATTGATTGATTCACTGATCAATTAGCTGGTCAATCGACTGATGAAGACGTCCGATTGATTGATTGATTGATCAATTAGCTGGTCAATCGACTGATGAAGACGTCTGATTGATTGATTAGCGAGGTCATCGATTGATTAGGACATCCGAGATTGGGGAAAAACGATGCTCCGCAATGCGACGCAATGGCGCTTGACGGCAACAATAATCATCGAGGGAATATCAAACAGGGAATAATCATCGAGGTCAGATACTAAGTTCGCTGTCGTCGGTTCATTTACAGGGGTTTAACCACAGTTAAATCCTGGTCCTCCAGTTCTTATCCTTTCCCTTCGCCGCTTCTGCCTCTTCTGTCTCTATGTATGTGTTTGTGTTTGTGTTTGTGTTTGTGTGAGTGTGTTTGTGTGTGTGTGTGTGTGTGTGTGTGTG